CCCGGTTAGAGCTTCCAAGGCCCACAATTCCCAGTGGCGGAGCTTCCGAGGCTCGCACTCCCCCGTGGTTCAGAGCTTCATTACCATTTATCACTTGAGGCCATGTAGATGTTGTCCTTCGTCCGTCCTGTCGAGTTTTCTCCACCGCATGATCTTCCCCATTCGCCTATCTCGGTCCCTGTTCGGGCGCCATTTGTGGGAGTCATCGAAAGGAGCAGGGGCTTAAGGTTTAGGACCAGAAGCCATTTTATTGAGCATCAGACCAAACTTATATATTCTCCAAGTATGTGAGCATACACTGTCCACGCGCTCCCTCCCCCTGCCTCCAGCCAATTCCTTGACTCTATTGCTATCTGGGTCCAATCCTGCTAACGGACAACAGGTAACCAACCAGAGATCGGTGTGTCCAGCCTGTGTTTTAGGTTTCTCTATCTGCTAATCTGTTATTCCTAACTTTTACAGTTTCTCACTCCTAACTTTCACCGTTCCCACAGCTTCCCACAGTTTCTCACGGTTTCTCAGTTTCCCACGTCAGCACCTTCTTATCTGCCTCTTGGGCTTCTTGCTTGATCTTTTTGGCAAAGAGTGGGTTTTGGCTCACTCATCTTGTGGGTTTTCTCCCCTTCTGCTCTGTGCCTTGGGGTCCGTAGTGTTGGACAGCCTTGGGGTCAGATGTGTCACAGTGCAATCTGGATGCAAATGCAGACTCATTGTCTTACTGCTCTTGGATCCAAAAGCACTCTCGGATCCCAGTGCTCTGAAGGAGGCAGGGGTGACTTCAACAAGTTAGGGTTTTTTCACTTTTTAGGAAAAAATGCACTTTTCGGTGGCCCTGCTGCTGTCCTTTTGGAGCCCAAAATAGCAAGCATATGGGTAAGCGTCTGCTTTAACACCTGCTCTTGAGCAGTGGGAGCAGCAGGGACTCCGTGCTTCCCTATATCCTGGCCCTGCTTGAAGGGGGATGAGGTTTTTAGTACTTAACGTGGCTGGAATTAAAAATTAAGCAGCTTTTCTTGGATCTGGTTTTAATGAATGCTGAGAAATCCAGAGGGAATAAGCCCTGAAGAAATTCTAGTTATCTGAACTAGATCTTGTTGGCTTCCCTTGGGGCTTGCTCCTCATAGTTTTTAGCATTAAGGAGCTTTCATTCGACAAGGAGCCAGAGGGACTATGGCCAAATAGGGCAAGTGTCATATCTGATACCACACAGAAAGCTAGAGTTGTCCTCAGATCAGCTATTGGCCATTAGAGATGCTGGTGGGTTTCCCATTTTGACATCCCTTGTGTGTGTCTCCAGATCTGCGAGTATCCCATTGACCTCCATGGAAACGAGCTGCCTTTCCTGCGCAATCCTGATATCCTCGTGGGAGAGAATGACTTGACGGTCCTGAGCTACTTGCATGAGCCTGCCGTCTTCCACAACCTCAAAGTGAGGTTCCTCGAGTCCAACCACATCTACACGTACTGTGGTGAGTGTCATGGTATGGCCATCAATCCCCAGGGGACCTTTCTAGGTTCATGTCTTGGGTAATGGCTGCAAAATCAGAAGTGACTTTTGAGGGCAAGTGTGGTGAGACCTTCCTGAGCTTGTGGAGCATGTCCAGAGACAGGAGACCCCAAATGTGACCAGTACGAAGGTTGGACTTCCATTGCCTCCTCTGCTGCGAAAACTTAGGGACATCAGTGTTGGTAGAAACACCTAAATGCCTTGTCAGATGAGTTTGAGGCCGGCTGTGAATGTGATGAACCATCTGCAGGGAAACACGAGGACCTGGGAAGCTGCTGGAGAACAGCCGTGCCCAGGAAGATGTATCCAACTGAGAGAGGCTTATGGTGCATTTCACTTTAGTCCCCTGCTCTAGTGAGTTTGTGGAGGTGATCAGATTTATGGGATCTGATGTCCCAGAAAATTGTGCAATTTAGCCAGTCACGAGGGGCAAAAACTATACGCTACAGAAGAGCAGACAACAAAGATGTGCTGTTAGTGTTGTCGCCAAGCATGTGTTTTCTCTGCAAGAGAAAAACTCCTTTCTGGAGTAGTTTCCATCCAGAATTATAGTGATATCCTGAGAAAATTGATGGCCCATGGTAGAAGTCAGCTTGTGTGGGGAAGAGTGCAAACAAAATGGGTGCATTGTTGTTTTATGCCTGTTCTTGATGACTTTGGGAACTCAAAGCAAAGGCAAGGCCAATGTGAACTTGGTTTGTCTTCCTGGGGAGACTGTCTGGCCAATGGCATTCAAGACCGCAGTTACCAGTCCTGCCTCTTCTCTCACCGCAAGCCATGAAGTATCTGTAGCTCCTCCAAATAACAACAGTGTTCGATTTATTTTGTTTTATTTTAAACCCATAAAACCTGGAGATACTTCAGAGCTGGAACTTGGGAATGTTCCAGTATTGCCATATGCAAGAACTGCTCTCCAGAGCAGGCAGTTGCCTCGGATTTCTCCAGAGATGGAGGTGCCCCTAAATTGACAGCTCTCCTGCTCCAGGCATGGGTTTCCAACAGCAGGAGCAAAGGGAGCCTTTAAGGCTCAGTCCCTGCTGTTCCCTGTTGCAGTTCAAACGGCTGCAGCGACCTGGTTCAGGGACGGCACGGCGACCACCCCCAAGCCACTCGGGCCATCAGCTAGTTGACACCAATGTGGTGGACAATGGCCTTTATTGATGGGTAACAAGGGGTTATATAGCTAGGTTTACAACGTCACATCCGTCTGCTTACACCATAGACTAAACACTATTGGCTATTAGGGGCCCTATCTTTCCGTACAGCACGATATCTTCCGGCCGCCGTTCCCTAACTATCTGCAACAGTTCCCTCACCATGATCTATCTGTTTCATTTTGCTTAGAGTGTGCCCTTTGTTTGGAGCTTTTGCTCAGCATTTAAGCCACAGGAAAATCCATGTTATTTGTTTGCTTTGGCTTCAGAGGAATTACTTCTCTGAAGTTACGGCTCAGGCATCTCTTGGTCCTCCTTCTCAGACCTTCTAAAAAGTCAGGCTTTGCACAGTGGAGCCTTAAGTATTCACTTTCCTTACCAATGTCATATTCCTACTCCATGGCTGTCCTGGAACTTATTGCCTTGCTCTCAAAGCGCCACACTTCCAAGGAGACGCGGGGATAAGAATTTCCCATTCCCTTCCCATCCCCCTTTTTTTCCCAAGCAGCATACTAAAAATCAACCAAAACGAAGCCCTCTAAAGCATGGGCTGACGTAACTTTAACTTTGGTTTGTAACCTCTGTGAGTTTCTCTCCTTTAAGGTATTGTGCTTGTTGCCATCAATCCCTACGAGCAGCTGCCAATCTACGAACAAGATGTCATCTACACATACAGTGGCCAAAACATGGGGGACATGGACCCTCACATCTTTGCCGTGGCTGAAGAAGCCTACAAGCAGATGGCCAGGTGAGTGGACACTTGGTGAGGGCTGTCTGCCTTGAGCTGGTGGCCCAAGCACCAAACAGGGGCAAGCAGATGATGAAGAAGTCATGGACAGCAGGTTTTCATCTCTGAGAATATAGCGTCTTCTGTCATGTGGCCTTATTGCTAGGAAAAGAGAAAAAGAAGGAAAAATAAAAGCAGATATGTCCTGTGTGTAGACGTGGAGGTATTTATGGGTTGTCTTGCCTGGTCCTTCTTGATGATTCCTTCTGCTGGTTGCAATGATCTCTTTTATAATCTGACTTTGCAGTCACTGCCTCAGAACAGTGAGTACTCTGAGCCACATGAGCATCTTTTCAAGTGGTTTTCATTTATTTTCTAGTGAATCTGGCTGTTCTCCCCTCAGATCCAAATTGGATATATATATAAGGCATGAGCTTTGAGGATGGTGTTGTCATTGAAGATGATGGTTTATGCAACATTTTATGTCAGGGTGTAGAAAGAACATGTCTGGGCCAGCTTAGATACTTGTTTTGGTCCTTTCTGCTGAATTGAGGCAAAGTTTGCTGCTACTGTGTAGCCTGCCTTAAATCCCTCAAACCCAGAGAAGTTATTGGATGGAATACCATTGGGAGAGACACTGCGTCCCTCGGGTACTCGCAAGCTGCCCTGCTGCCTGGTGCCTGCAGCCTTGCAGCAGCATCTGTGCCAGGTGCATGGGGTAGGAGGGCTTTTTTCTTTATTTCTTTATGTATTTATTGTGCTTAGTTCTGTATCTATTATGCTGTTGATGTAGCGTTTTGTCATTGCAACGTTAGCAAGGTCTGTGACCTGGAAGAGGAGAGGAAGCTGAAGGCTGCTGCATTGGGTATCGTATGGGGGTCATCTGGACTCAGGCCAGATGCTTTATTTTAACTGAGCAGCCATTTGTGGTAATGAAGGTGCCCCCTTCACTTGGTTTTCTGTAATTCCTTACAGAATTTAAGCAGAACTTAACTGAGGGGAGATGCACACAGACTCTGCAGGCTTCTGCACAATGTCAGCCAACTCCTTGTGGCATCTTGGCCACTTGGAAGGTGAAACTTGGCAGGCCCTTTTATGAGCGTGGAGATAAGAGAGAGGGCAGGGTGCGACACCCTTCCAATAAGGCGAATGACAAGGTTGTGCTCAGGAAGCATGAAATCACCTGGAATAGCTCTACTCTGGTGCAAAAGGCAGCATGTACTGTTTTTTTTTTCTTGCTTTTCCTTTGGTTTTATGAGTATCTATAGGCTTAATAAAATGCAAAATTAAAAATAAAATTGCATTTAATAAAGTGCAAAACAAAATGCATCAGTGCCATGTGATCGGTGTCCCTGCGGTGACTCGAGAGTTGGGGACAGAGCTGCTGTGCTGGTGGGAGCAGAGCAAGAAGGGTCTCCTGCAGCTCCGAGCACCTCTCCGAAATGGCCATCACTTGCAGGGTCTCCCCTCCAAACACCTACCAAGCACTAAGCATAGTAGGCACCATGCCGTGCATTTCCATGTGTTTTCCAGTTGGTGTATCCAAATTTTGCCTGCTGGTAGAGACTTCTTGATGGGATCCCATCACTGTGTCCATGCTGGTCTTCACTCCTGGCCTTTGCAAATGTAGCTGGACGCAGCTCCTGCACATCCATCATAAGGAAGAAGGTGCCAGAGGCTCCCAGCACGGAAAAGCTGGAGACCCACCAGCCCAGCCCTGTGGTGGGAAGGACAAAATGCCTTTTTTTATGAGCTGCTTTTGTCTGAAATATTGGGAAAAACATAAATGCTCAGGCAGCCGTGCATTAGAGCCACTGTGAAGAAGTGTCCTGAGCCTCAGTGTTGGGCTGAATTTGAACCACGGTCCTCACAGCGCCTTTAATCTCCGGCGTGCCCTATGGACGCTAATCCTCTGACTGTGCTCGGAGAAGTAGGTTAAATATGATTTCTGCTGCAGAAATGCAGGGACACCCCTTGACTCGGTGTGTGGCGCATGGGGATTAGTGTCGCAGCGGAGATTAGTGCTCGAGTGACCCAGGTTAGCGCGTGCGGGTTTGCTCATCAGGACAAAGCTCTTCATTTTGTCAAAGGCCGCTGATTTCTGTGGTGATTTCCTTAGGGGAAGGGTATCAAAGTGAATCCCACTTAAAAACTCCCATTTCTTTTTAGTGCTGTTGTATTTATGGCTTTGACGAGAAACTGGAAATGTTTATTGCTCTGATTTGGCTCTGTAGGTATATTGAGTTTTACCTGGGTACACAGAGCTGGACCATCCATCTTTCACCCCACCGGCAGTAACTGCTCACCAAATTGTATGGGAAAATCTCTGCAATCTGTCTGGATTTGAAAGCAGCATCTTCCCAGAGATGTCGGCCTTGGTGAATACTACCTCGCTCCTCCAGAAAACTGTTTTGTTTTGCAAAAACTTGGGAAGTCAAAGAAACTTCCTGTTGGTGGTTTCTACCAGCAATTGTTTTTACTCTCTTTATGCTCTTCCTTCTTCCTGCTGGTTCTTCCTTGCACCCAAAAAGAAGCAAAATCCTTCTGGAAATACCTACCCACTTTGGAAAATGCAGTCGGGGGTGTATTTTCTTCCATTTTACACTGCCCATGGCTGTTTCGGTGACGTTGTCCTACTCTGTGCTTTGGAGCAATGACTTATATTTTAGGTGGCTTTGGGGAATAAGAGCCAATGTGAATCTGAAGTGGGAGATGATGTTAGTGCTGCAGAGGTTTAACCAATACAGAAATATATGTGAAAATACTGATCCACATTTAATTGCATTTAATTCTGCTATTTCATGATTTGAGGGGGCTAGATTGCACAGCTTCAATAGTTGTCGTATTTGAAGGTAAAGGAATCTTTACGGATATCCGTCTTTTAATATCTTAACAGTACACTACTTGAATTTCACGTCCAACTGTCCTTTTTTTATTCTGGGAAAAGCATGAATGCTTGCGTTGGAGGTGTTGGGAGGAGAAATTCCACATGTAGCATTCGCGGCTGATAGGCAGCAAACTCACCTTAATGCTCCCCCTGGCAAACGTCAAGTGACGGGTGCTTATTATCTTGGTGCTCTAATGAAGCTATAACGAAGAGGCGTCTGAACATGAGGTTGCACGTTGTGGGGGGCCCGAAAACAGCCGCACTTGGTGAGGCCTCCACCAAGCTCCATTTCGTCCTTTGGGGTTTTAGCCCTTACAGGATGTTTTGCAGTTGTGTATTATTCACTTTTCCTTTCGGTAGAGTGCAGTGACCTGGGCATTGATAAGGCAGTGCTAAAAACACAAGGGAGATGTGTGGATGTGGAGGGTTATTGCACAGTGCAAAGGATTAGCGAGCAATTCGATCCACTACGGGCACTTTTCTTCTCTGCTGCTCCAGGGACAAGAAGAACCAGTCCATCATCGTGAGTGGCGAGTCAGGCACCGGCAAGATGGTCTCCGCCAAGTACGCCATGCGCTTCTTCACCACCGTCGGGGGCTCGGCTAGCGAGATCAACATTGAAGCCAAAGTCCTCGCCTCGAGCCTGATCATGGAGGTAAGATCTGCCTGGGAGACCTCTGACATTCCCTTTGCCCGGCTTGCAGTGGGCTTTCTCTTTCCAAGCCATTGCTGATAGCCTCCATGCAGCTCCTCTGTACTTCGTTGTTAGCTTATCTGCTTCATCTTCCTCCTCTTACCACCTCGTAGTCCTTCCTCATCTAAAATAAGAGGAAAAAAGGAGTCTCTGGTTAACCTGTTATAATTATCCCAATGCAGCACTGTTTTTTGGTACTTCTCTCTGACCATTTTAAGCATGCAAGCGGATGGTCCAGTGGCTTTGCTCCTGCTCGGGTGGTGAGGCCAGACCCTGGTGCTCTGATCCTCTCCTGGTTCTCCACATCCCCCCCCTCTGAAGGCTCCTTCCCAGGTGCTGAAAATAGGTTGCTGCTCTCCACTGACTCCAAGCGCCATTTGCACCACTGAGAGCCTTAGTTGCTGCCTACGTGGCAAAGCCCACTAGGGCTAAGGTCTTCCACCAGCAAGAGAGAGAACATGGCCAACACACAACGTGGCTTGCAAAACAAGTCAAAGGTGGTCTGGTTGGTTGGCCCAAGGTCTGTTTGTTTGGTCCATGGTTAGTCTTATCTTGCCTGCATCCAGGAACTGGAAAGAAGGCTCTCGTTCACCTTCTTCTTATCCTTATTGCCCCTTGCCCACATGTCTGTGAGTGACACTGTGCCACTGTTTCTCCATCCCTCCAGCTCAGGTGCTGGTGATGCAGATTGTCTTGGTGTTGCTTGAAGGTGGAGCTATCAGAGATTACATCTTAATGGCAGCTTTTTAATTTGGGAGAGTGTGGATTTGGAAGAGATTGGAATTATTGAACTGTGTATCATCACCCAGACATACAGGGATAAATCCTCCGAATATACAATCTGGACAGATGTGGATGGCGGGGAGAAAGGAAAGGCAGTCAATGAGGAATGGCAGGGGATGGTGCCCTTCTCCGCAGGGATGAAACCTGCTGTTCTGAGGTCTATTCCCATAGCTCTCCTGAAGAAGATCAGCATTGCTGCAGAGCAGTGCACCCATGTCTGCGTTGTGGGTGAGCATCCAGCTTCATTGCTCATAGGCTTAGGAGTGGCAACCACCGTTTGCCTCTGTGATTTGCATCCCGTTGACATCCCCTGCAAAGGCCGTGCTGGTTATAGCAGACTAGGGTGCAAGACACGTCTGAACATGCACAGAGATATTGCCCAAATATCTGTTGTCCAGATCCCTCCTCCCAGCACTTTTGCATCATGGGGAGCACCAGAGACTGAGCTTGGTGGAGCATCAGTCCCACTCAGGTCAGGTTAATCCATTGGGGTGTTGGTGACTTGCTTATTGAAAGCATGTTGTTTCCAGAATTTCTGTGAAAGAAAAATCCATGGAAGTTGGATCCATACAGTAACAGCATCCTCTCCAATGACTGTGGAGGACAGGGACATGGGGGTGTCCTTGACCAGTCCTTGACTGGGCTAAGTTGGCGGGAAATGAGGAAGTTACTCATTGTGAAAGACAACTTTGAGGAAGTACAGCTGCCTTGAGATGTCAGTGTGGCTATTGCGGTTAGGCGCTTGGATACGGCTTAGCAACATATGATATGTTAGCACGTTAATGCTTGTAACCAATTACTGATGCTGTACCGAGATGTTGCTATGCGAATTGCTATATATTGTGATAGTAACACGAAATAAACGAAGTCAGTTCCAGCTTCTATGAAGTTGCTGTTTGGCATCAGCCGTGCGATCCAGCCAAGAAGGGGACCGGAGCGGGTAAGCCAGCCGTGAATGCGCACACGGGAAGACGGCGTGAGGTAACGGTTAGAAGCAGAACTCCCAGTGTACGTGCACATGGAGCAAGAAGCTGCTGTGCAGCTGCTGCTGGACTTACTGGCAAAAAGGGAGGCAGCAGTGAGCACGAAGAAGTTATATGAGCTGCTTAAGTGGGCGCGGGAGAAGGGCCACTTAAAAGAGCCACAGCTTGTGTTTAGTATAACAGAGTGGCGTGAGATAGGGGACTCACTATGGGAAGCCAATCTGGAGGGCGGCAAAACTGCCAAAGAGTTGGGCCTTACCTGGCGAGAAGTAACGAATCAGCTAAAGGCAATGCAAGCTGAAAAGAAAATGGTAGCAGCCGCGACGCAGATGCTGCAAGGGGAGGAATGCCCCCCAAGGTTTCACTAGAGGCGAAAGGCACACCTGGCCGAGGGGCTACTGCAGTCCCAAAGAGCACCACCAAGGAGTTGATTGACAGCATTCTCGGAGGCGGGTCGTCGCAATCTCAGCGTCCCTCGGAGCCACCACCTCCACCACCAGAACCTGTGCCGGCCGAATCACCGCGACCCCCGAACCGCCAGTGCAGCTGTCGGTGCCACCACTCCCGGCATGGACAGCTGGGAATAGATCACAGGAGCAACCACCGGAGCGAAGCCGGGACCAACCCTCTGATAGGCTGTTCCGAGAAGCCTCTAGAGCGCTTGATCAAGCCGAGGCAGCTGGGCCAGCAACAGGTGGGGAGTGGTCTGGGGCTTCCGGAGGGGGTTCGGGTCCGCGGGTTTCCTCTTCGCGTTGGTCTGGTGTTATCAGGGATGCAATTCTGGAGGGTCAATGGGAGCCGGCTATGAGGGTAGCATGCCCGGTGACCTTTGAGCTGGATGGCCAAGGGCGGGGAGCGGGCAAATGGGATCAGTTTGACTGGAAAATTTTGGATCAATTAAGGGATGCGGTCGCGCGTTGTGGGATCAAAGGCGAGCCCTCCAGACAAATGCTATCCTACATCTTTAATAGCGACATGCTTCTTCCTAGTGACTGTCAACAAATTGCAAAATTAATTTTGACACCGGGTCAGTTACTACTATGGGAAAGACAGTGGGCAGCTCACGCGGCGCGTGAGTGTGCCATATCGCGGCAGCAGGGGGATCTACTGTTGGATCTATGGGTCGAAACGGTTTTAGGACAGGGACACTTTGCGGATATGGGGGTGCAGATGCAGTATCCTCCTATTCTTTTGAGGCTCGTGACACAGACCGCCTTATCAGCGTTTATGTCCTTACCGGAGGAAAAGAAGGGGCCGTCTTTTGTAAATGTTAAACAGGGTGTAAACGAGCC